GTGATTGTGTGTTTATATGTACAACACAGTCTCATTGACTCCGGTGACAAGTGAACTAGATCAACAGTGGAGATTTGATTACGGATCAAATTTATGAGGAGTCCAACATTTTTTCTTGTCCTTCCACAAAATCTTTTCCTAAAAACCCAGAGTCGTCTGGACAAAGAATCAAGACCTACATTTTAAGATATAATCTATTTTCACTATGAAATCATTTTTTATTTAGCAGATGCAGCAGTCTTAAAGTGTCCAGAAATTAGAGCACTACACTTCAAACATCAAACTTTACTTCAACAAGTTTGGGGAAAACTATTAAAAAGTATATTCACATATATCTATCTGTCAAAAAAAAGGTTTTAAATTAATACAACACAACAAATATAAGTAAACTCATTTATTGAAAGTTGAGAAATGAAACAAAAAATAAATGAAGATGAGAATACAGAAAGAATTTGATCCCAAACTGAAAACAGAACAGGAGATTGGGAGTGGGGGGGGTAGAGTGCCTTACCTGACAAAGGGAGTAAACATCTTTTCTACTAAAAAAAATAGGGGAAAATGGACGCAAACATACTATTAGAAGCTATCATAAGTACAGTACAGGAACAGGAGTACCTGAGCACCCGATTTTCTCAGAAGGAAACTTCTCAAAATAATAAACAATCTGAGAGATATAACACCTTTTACAAAAGAGGCCATGTGAACTGATCCGAATCAAAATCTTAAGGGTGAAATGTTTTTAATGTATAAACATAATAGAAAGTGGAGAAATCAATTATGACTAGCCTTGACCATAGCCAAAAAGTTTGACATTTGAAATTTGAGTCTTAGCATTAATTTTTCTGGTCTTATCCTCAATCTAGTACCATGATTTCATTAGTGCTCAGGGCTTATAATACTAATATGGGATAGAGCGCTATGTAAATTCAATGTATTATTATTAATCTATTATCATTTTACCCTTGTGTACTATAGAACCACTGCTTGACTGAATGTGTACATTTAACACTTTAGTTACAGGCCATCCTGTAACTAGTTAATTAACCAGTTAGAATAGAGGCTGTCAGCAAAGCTCGATGAGAAAAAGAGTACCGTTAATAAGGATTGGATTAATTTTAGGCATAACCTACACATGCAAACAGAACAAAGAATATTTCCATTTCTATTTTATAATTCAAGTTGGGAGACTGTGGAATAGATACAGAAAGTTGGACAGATTAATTCAAAAGTATCCATCAGAGTGAGTTTTTTTCATTGTAGGTCTGAAGGGAGCACTGCCAAGAGGCAAATACATAAGTCAGATATCACTTAGGTGTTAAGAACAACATCTTAAACCTTTACCATTTTAGGCATCTATCTAAACATTCAATTGATTCTGATTATAAGGAAAAGCATGGCATAAGCACAGAATATATTGAGCTGTAGGTCAGAGTAAATTCACATGGTAGTTGGATTTGTGTCACTAGAAAGCACAATAGGAATAAAATGATGGTTTATAAATTGTTATTAAAAAAAAAGTTTTAGTATGAGTTTTACGGCCCTAGCAATACAATTTATCATCATCATCAACCCGTGTCAGATATGCAACAGACATCAGCGATCATGGTTCTCCATTCATTCCTTTGCTCGGATGCTCTCAAAAAAGCTATTTTTCTCTGACCTTTCCCTGTCACCTACTTGTTCAAGTTCCCCAAGTAGGTTGTCCTGGGCCTACCCCTGCCTCGCTTGCCTTCAATTTTGCCAGTGAGAGCTACATGTTCAAGACCCATAAGTCTATTCAGGTGTCCCAAAAACAGCATTTGTCGTTTCCGGATTGTTTTTAACAGTAAGCGTAGCCCGTGGGCTTCATCAAGCACTACCTCATTTGATTTCTTTTCCTTCGACAATACTCTTAGCAGTCTCCTAAGAAACCACATTTCTGTTGCTTCTATTTTATTTTCACTGTCTTTAGTGATTGTCCAGCATTCATAGCCATATAGAAGGGTTGACCATACATAGCATTTCAGAATGTTTATTTTGGTGGTTAAAGAGATGTTTCTATTTTTCAGGATTGGGCTCATTATATTGAAACTAGACTTAGCCATTGTAATTCTCTGTTCAATTTCTGTGGAACATTTGGCGTCTGATGTTATCATATGTGTGTGTGCCTGGTGAAAGGGACCACATGTCGCATTTTGAAAAATCCCGTTTTTTGGCATTTTCTTGTACAGAATTCATTTCTGAACAATGTGCTTTTTAAATTTTGAAGATATCTTCAGTAGTTTTTGAGATATGGGCGATTTTGTAAGGCAGGGTACGGAAACAAAGTTTTGAGAAAAACGGCTCTAAAGCTTCACCTCTGTTTCTGCAGAAAAAACAAAAACAGAACACCCTTTTTTCATAACAAGTCACCATTCTAGTAAAAAGGTTTTGCTGTTGCTGAAATATAATGTTGTTAAATCATGTTCATAATTATTATTGTTTTGTTTAAAAACTTGATACCCCCCTCCCTCCCCCTTCATCTCCTGCAACACACACAGGCAAAAAAAAGTATCTTCACCACAGTAACTAGGGAACTTAACACTATCAATCATCAGGGTCAGAGGTAAACTTTTTGTTCCCTACCCACTTAACAAGATTGCCACATATCCAGATCTTAGAACCCAGACTCTCCCAGGAATAAATGAAATTTTGTTCTGCATACATTTAGAATTAAGAAAACAAAAATGCACTACTATGAGTAAGCTAGATCTAAACTAGATCTAGATTTATCAAGAAAGAACAGCGTAATGATAATTATTACTTTTAATTATCATTATAATAAATAATTATTAGTTTGCTAAATCTAAATCTATTTCTATTATCACTGTTGTTTTTGTTGTTGTTAATCTTTACCTGCTTCGCTCGGTTCTGCTTCAAGTGCGGGGTCTGGAACTGGCGATGGCACCACAGATCGAACTCATCTTCTTCCTCTTCTCCCAAATCGACGTCAGAAACTAAATAATCGCATATTACATCTCTAATGTCTTCTTCAGTTGCCATTCTGACATTCCAATGCGTCTAAAAGAATTGAGAAGAGACACAATGTCCTGCTCACGAATAGCAGTACTAGATCTAGATCTAGTACTAGATCTACTACTAACAGTACCGGTAGTAGTAACAGCTGGCAGCTCCGCCGTGTTGTTGTGCTTCGAGACGACCTGACAACACAGTCGCTTCTCACAAACCAACTTTAAAAAGCAGCTGTACAATAAAAGAACAGCTTCATGGTGTTTATATTACGTCTTCAAAACAAATTCACCACCACATTGAACAGGAATTTCAAGAAATACGGTTTGCACAGGGCAGAAATAGGCGATACAAGTTTGTTCTCCAAAGAAACAAAAGGGTATGGATGCGCAAAGTTTCGCTTTGTTTACATGTTCTAGATATTCATGCGCACTACCTGCCATTGGAGAGCAGAGAGAATGACCTAAATTTTAGTATGCAATGTGATTGGGTCGACTTTATGAATGGACAAGAGAAACCATCCGCAGTGTTTACCCTGAAAGCCAGTTTCCTCACGCATTTTTTGGGATTATGCAATATACCTCGGGTTAAAAAACACCTTTTAAAATGTATTTTCAAGTCAAAATAACCCAAATCCTTGTAAATACCAATAAATAAATGGCTGAAGAATCCATTTTTAATGGAACTTAGTTTTTGTCAAAAATTCTATTTTTGACTTTGAAGCCTGATATCTCGGTTTGAGAAAATGCGACATGTGGTCCCTTTCACCAGGCACACACACATATATCCTAGATATTTAAACTGTTGGACTTGTTTGACCTTTTCACCTTTGCTAATGAGATTACAACAAGGATTTGTTGCTTTTTTTAATATTACCAAGCATTCTGTTTTCTTTACATTCAACAATAATCCTTTACGTTCACTTTCTGTTACAACAGTATCTAGAAGCAATTGAAGGTCCTTTTCTCAGCCTGCTATTAAAACCGTGTCACCCGCATTTGATGTTATTAATATTTCCTCCATTTATTTGAGACCTGGACATTCTTCTAGGTTTCTAAGGATTGTTTCACTGTACATGTTAAAGAGGTCTGGTGACATAACACATTCTTGCCTCACTCCTCCCCTAATCTGCTTATATTCACTGTATTCTCCATTAATTTGTACAGCAGCGTTTTGGTCCCAGTACAAATTCCAGATAATTCTTAGATCTTTTCCATCTATGTCTAGCTTTTCCAGTATTTCAAATAGCTCATCATGTCTAACTTAATCAAACGCCTTTGAATAATCTATGAAGCAAAAATACAGATCTTTCTGTGCTTCAATACATCTTTCCATTAACATTGTTATGGTGAATATAGCATTTCCAGTGCCCTTGTTAGGAGCAAAGCCGAATTGCGTTTTAATTAGATATCTCTGGTCTTACACTTTTTCTCAATCTTCCCATTAGTATTCGCAGCAATATTTTTGTAAAATGACTCATAAGGCTAATTGTTCTATGCTTATCACACTCAGTGGCACCTGGTGTTTTACGTAAAGCTATAAAAACTGACGTCATCATATCTTCTGGGATCTCAACGCTGTCATAAATAGCATTGCCTAGTTCTTCAAGCACGACAATCACTTCAACTGGAATATTATTTGGCCCTGTGGCTTTTCCTTGTTTCATTTTCCTAAAGGCAGCTTGCACTTCTGCTTTCAGTAGTGGTGGTCCATTTATTTCATTCTTTATTAACAGTTTTTCTCCTCTATTATCTTTGAAAAGAATATAATTTATAAGTAGTATAATACTGAAGAATAGAGGTATTTCTAGACAGTAACATATTCAGAAAAGAAGGAGGGACAAGGACAATAGAAGTTTGATAGGAATGAGAGCAAACCACATCAGAGCATGTGTCAAACACCTACTAAAATGATGCTGAAAAAAATATAAGTAGCAGACGGCACAAAAGCACACACGAGCCACTGAGAAGTCTGAAGAAGAATAATGGGCCGAGATTTAAAAAAAAATGTACCTGGCGTGAAAGTTGGATTTGCGGGAGAGAACCAAACACCGATGCATGAGCAGGCCAACATTAGCACGGTGAAGTCAATATTATTGGTTGAGAATGTTAGGAGCACGTCTCCCTTACGAAGCCCCAGCCTGTGAAGCCCACTGGCCACTTTCAGACACGTCTCCCTCAGCTGACTATATTTTATCGTTTTCCCAGTAGCAAACTCCTCCTGCAGACAATAACATTTTAAGGTAAAAATGTAAAACAAAATGACATTCTATGGCAAAAGTAAAACTAAGGTGAACACTTTCTGAGGACAGAACAATAACATTTCAAGGTAAACGGTTCCTGAGAACAAAATTTTTAACATTTATAATGGTATTCTCAAACCACAGGCTAACTCAGATTTACTTTAACAGGCCAAGTGCAAGACCTAATCACCCCCCGGGGCAGTGCCACTGACAGTAGGGTCTTTAGACCATTCCCAAAGGGGGGACATTTCTCGTTCAAGCATAGTAAGAATTATACAACAGGGAACTGCTGCTTTTTCTTTCCTGATCCTTACTATTGTCATTTTCCTCTACTTCTTTTGTATGTTTGTCACTCTCTTGTGACCTGCTATTTCCAGGGTGCCTTGATAGTCAAAGCAGACCTTGTGCTGTTGAAGCTAGAGAGGTGAGCAGTTTAAGTCTGATTCCCTGTAAAGACTTCTCTGTTGACACCCACCCCTTGGCGCTCATGACCTTATGCAGTTGCGAGCGCCATAAAACTCTCTACTATAAAAAAAAAAAGACCTAATTGTAATGCAAACTCTTTCACAGGGCCAAATAAAATTTTAAAGCAAAACTCAAATTTATATTATATAATTAAGCAACACCTAAATGGTAAAACATCATAGTGAAGACACATATCACCCTTCAAATGGAAAGCATACAAATCGGCGAAAACGTTTCATTTGTCCGCTGATGAGTCACTTTGGGGGGGGAGTCACAAAAAGCATTGCAGATAATTTTATGCATGATGATAGTACCACTTCTCTACTTTCTCCACCAACAGTAACATTAACAACTACTCTTCCCACACCAAAGCACTCGCCAACCACCTATACAACTACTTTTCATTCTAACAACAATGTTGGCAGATATGTGAAGCAGAGAGAGAAGCTGAAACTGCTACATGAAAAAATTAGACTCTTTTTTGCTTGAAAATATAATTTATGGTTTTAAATTTTCACATTCCTTTAAACCTCTAATATAAAAATATAACATTTCAAAGGAAGATCTCAGCACAGAGAAATAAATATAACCCTACAGATAACACGCTCGGACAGTTCTTGCAGAGTCTTCATTTGAAATAACATACATACCAAGGCAACCTTATCTCCATACTTGTCACATCGGTTGAAGACAAACTCATGGAAGGTCACATCTTTGGGAATATCAATATCTGGAAAATTACTGGTCAGTATATGATCAGATGAGATGGTCTGTCGATAGATGCAGTGTGAAACAGATAGATTTCTCGATATACGATGTGTTAAGTTGATACCATAGCAACATGGTCCCAAGATGCCTCGCTTGGATTGTCGGGTTAGGAGTGCGATAGAAGAGCCTGTACTCCCTCTCAGAAGCTTCAACAGTTGTCTCTGAATCATCTTGCCCAAAGATGAGGCCTGAAATAAAGTAAAATATTATATAGGCGTAACATCATAAAGAATAAAAATCCGGCAATAAAAAATAATAATTTTATTTAAATGTTCAGCTAGAGTATTTCCACTTGGATAAATAATGCTCAGTGAGTTTATTTAAATTATAAATTATGCAAAGAATATAGCCAATTGCCAATATTGGTCCTTCATTTCCCTCCCTCCCTCACCCTCTCTCTCTTCCCCCCTCCTCTCTCCAGTTTTACTAACATTACACACACATAGATTAAAGACTTGAAATGCCCCCCAACCCCCCACCCCCTTTCCAGGTTGGTCTAACGCATGGAAATAAAAGGCTGTACTGTGCAATTATTCTAGCCTAGTCTTGTGTAATAGACTATTAATTAGCGACAGCAATGTTTGTGAAACACGAACATGAAAAGGGCAATAAAATACCTGAGTGAGCATGAAAGGGGGAGTAAAAGTAAAATCAATACGTAATAATGTTTAAAATGTTTAGATCTACTTCACTTAGAGGATCTGCAGTCCGCTAGGTGCGAGCGCTGTAAAACCTCTACTAAAACAAAAGTCTGCTACGCGAACACATTTGGACCTAGAAATCTAGATCTAGATCTAGATCTAGATCTAGAATAGATCTAGATCTAGATATATCTAGAATCTAGATTAGATCTCTATACATAATAGCCTACAGCCTACATATAATGTTACATTGCCAACTTAGATCTTAGATTGCTATACATGATGCATAATTAGCCTAGTGCCTTAGTGGTGTACAGTGGCACTGCTCTTTACTAAGTCAGTTTAGCTAAGTAAGGCCGTAGGTGCATTTAGATGACCTAGATCGAGGGGGTAAGCCTAGTGCTTAGATCTAGATCTAGAATCTAGTAGATCTAGATCTAGATCTAGAATCTAGATCTAGATCTAGAATCTAGATCTAGATCTAGAATCTAGATCTAGATCTAGTAGCTGTAGATCTAGGCCTAAAGGCTAAAGGAAAGGGGGTACACGGTAGAGACAAATTCTAGGCCTACCTGGTTCTTCGTCTTCTAGCCTGGATAGGCCTTAATTCAATGCATTGTAAGATCAGTACGTTTTAGGTCCCAGGTGCGTGTAAAAAAGTAGTAATACAATCAAACAAAAATAACGACCTGAATGTAAGTCCAACTCCCGTGTGAATACAGTCTCGTTACAGTTGAGCCACTGTCTTCTGTAACGAGTTAGGCAACGACGAGGCAACGCGGTAGAAGAAGCAGCAGAGTCGGGGAGAGTGCGAATCTGCCTGCGATTCTACACCTTCGTGAAACCTTCAATTTTTTCAGGTCCAAGAGTTCAAACTCAGGGCTACTGACACTGAATCGGAAAACAATTAACGAAGCTGTGAAGAACTTGTTATTATACAGAAAATTAGGCCTAAGCCTACCCTAGTTCCTGGGCCTGGAATCCTAAGTCCAGTTCAGTCCAAAGCAAAGCGCTAACATTTTTTTATATTTTTATTGAATAGACTGAACTCTGCAAGGCGGCCGGAACCTAGGCTAGAACCTAGATTTAGATATTCTACAGCCTTGATCTAATTCTTGATATTAATTCTACATTCCCATTATTGTCCTTCGTCGTTTTTTTAAGGGTTGGTTCTTCTTCTTCTTTTATCCCCACCCCCTTAAAAACAACAACAAACTTACTATTTTCAGTGATTTTGGTTTGTTTCTTTTCTTGTTTTCTTTTGTTTGGGATCAAGGAAGTTTGAAGGAAGTCACTAGACGGTGTTCTTGTTTATAGGCCCTAGGCTAATGTACCCCCTAGGCCTAAATTAGGTTAGGCCCTAGGCCTAGATGTAATACGATCAAGGAGTTTAGAACTAAATTACTTTTAATCTCCTTGAATACGATGTATATATATTTATATATAGAATCTAAATCTAGATATAGTTTTCTAATTAATTCAACACTGATCTCATCAACTTAACAGGTTTTATTTTTTATCATTAATTGTACGAAGTGGGTCTAGCCCGAGGCTACCAAAATAAATCCTTGATTCGAATCAACACCAGCACTTAATAATATCCTGAAAACAGAATTTATGCCATAAAGCACAATAATAGTCAACTATCACATTCAAATCGGGAGCAAGGCTAATGAAACACACTCTGAATGAATACTTAGGAGCACGCACACAACACAACACGGCACGTCATTGTACATGCGATTAAAAGTAGAAATGATGCAAACTATTTTTAGGTAAGGCGCCCATCTTGTTTGACGTCAGACCAGGATACCCCTCCGATCACGTGACTACATCTAAGTATAGACAACCGCATGGCACCAAAGATGGAAGTGTCTATGTATATTATGCTTAATCTACACAAATTTCTCGGAATTTCTGATAGCTGATTTGATAGCGCGTCTGCGATTGATGTCGAGCAATGACTTTTGGAGAGGTTCGATTCCGGTCCCGGACAGTTTTTTTTCTCTCATTTCCTCCTCCCGATTGACCAACAGTTCCATAAATTATAGGCCTAATTTGTAGAGTTGCTTTGACTTTGAAGTTGTTGTTTATTTTAAAAAATGTATTAGTGATTAAAAATGCAGGAGGGGGGGGTGGTAGATCTAAATTTAGATCTAGATCTAGATCTAAATTTAGATATCTAGATCTATATCTAGATCTAATCTAGAATCTAGATCTAGATCTAGATCTAGATCTAGATTCTAGATCTAGATCTAGATTCTAAATCTAGATCTAGAGTCTAGATCTAGAAAATCCGAAATGTTACCGAAAACACATCGTTCCATGTTTGGGTATCCCAGGAAGTGGGATCACATTACTAAAATAAGCAGCCAATCAGAAAGATGCGTCATTTCTAAGATTAACGGCATGTCGTCATTGTCTACGACACCTTGTTAGCCTTGTAGGTACACACGGTTCAAATTTGCCCCCGGCCTTCTCGATAAGCCCTCTCGACCCTTTGTTTACATTCGGCTGCTGTTCCTGCTTTAGTTCCGGTATCCTCGGTCTAGCCGTACTTATTTAAGTACGGCAGATCTTTGGCCCAATCGACTCAATAGTCCACTGTCCAGACGAAATAACCCGTCACTAATTGCAACAGAAATAATTTCGATGCGAAGTGGTAGAAAAGGGTGTTTTGAACACCCACCATAAATTATACCTCTTTAGGGTCTGGCTTTTCTGAGATATTGGTCATTTTCTACTGACCAATTTCTGTTCTAACCCTCGAGGATTTCCATAACTAAAAAGACGTTTTCGCTGGTTTACATCCGGGCATTCCACGGGAAGTGATCAACTTTTCGTGGAATCCTTGACACCTTTTTCCTGTGACACACATAACCCTAATACTTAATTGACGCATTTTGGTAGAAGTTTAAAGCCAGATGTGCCATTTTGTGTAGTATGCAACTGTAATATGAGTTATAGAAATAAGCTACATCGAAAGAACTGCTCTGTTCCCTTATGTACGTTTTAAAATCAAGAAAAACACACAAACGCCTGCGCTAACACACAGATGTGTGCGCTAAAGTATGGAAACCCGTTATGGTTAAAGAACACAAGAGTGTTTCTATGAAATACTTATTTTAGTAGATCAATAGGTCCATGTGTTTGGATCTAGATCTATGTCTAATTTAAGTACATGTAGAAATGACTTGAGTCTAGATCTAGATATCTCAGTCGTTCATTCATACTAGTTTTCGGCATTGTTTGTATTGTTTGTATGTGACTGCGTGCCTGCGTTAGTGTGTGTGTGTGTGTGTGTGTGTGTGTGTGTGTGTGTGTGTGTGTGTGTGTGTGTGTGTGTGTAATTTCAGAAAGGCCTACAGTCTGGAATAGATAATGAATTTGTTGTTCTTTTGTTCCTCGCATTGTATAGTCTTCCTTTTAACCGGCACGATCGTTCTTGTGGTCCCCATGCAAAATAACACAACAAAACACCAATTATAACATTTGACCAGCCTTTGTGGTGGAAAGTGTTGAAAGTCATTGAAGGCGAGCCTGAAACCAGTGAATTCCGCTCCAGTTTGCTACGTTTAGGACGCTTCGTGTGGAAATGAGCTTCCTCGCGTGCATTGGGCATCTCATCAGAAGTCGAAGATATTCAGTCTAGCCATGAAGCTTCAAGTGAAAAGTACTCTATCAGATTTATTTTTTTTTAACATCGAAGCTGCAACACCTAATCACCGGCATCGAATAAAGACTTGCAGGTTTTATTAACTTTATACAAACAAGTTTTCGCAAACGAGTTGTCTGTCAATGATCTGAAGGGCAATGAACTTCTTCTTGGTTTGGCGAGGAAAGTCGAAGATCATGCAAGTACTCTCATCAGTAGAACGAGCAAAGTGTGGCTTCAATGTATGGCAATGGTTGACATGTTAAAGATGTTTCTTAAAGCCGAGAGAGAACGGGCAACTGGCTTTTACATCTTTCTACTGTTCACCAAATGTTATCCTATCTAGGTGCGGCAGGACACCATTTATACACACACTTAGCATACTTGTATCTCCAGATAATGAACCAGCTAGGAGACTCACCCTCATATCTACAAGAGTTTTTCGGACGGCCATCACGTAATTTGGCGAAGTAATCTCTTGAACGTTAAGGCAGGACTTTCTTCAGATTTAGCCATTGAGCAAATATGAATGTGAAGTGTCAAATCAACCGGGGGACTGACAAGAGGCAGGGGAATCAGTAAATCACAGACTGCAACGTGGCTTCTGTCAATGCCAGCTTGCGCAGAACTAAATAACGCCATGCAAAAAGTGACAGGCACGTTGCGTCTCTCAAGTGAACAGCACAAAGAACCGAGTCCATCGGGATCGGCAAAAGGATGCGCAGGATATGATGGCTGTTACCAAGTTTCTTCATGAGAGAAATCCGTTGGCTGAAGACGCTAGTCTGAGAAATATCGTTACGGGGGTGGTTGCAGAAACAGCTGTCAACGTTGACAAAGCACAAGATGTTGGTCAAACTATTCTCAGCAAAATGGAAGGTGGATCAGTCTCAGAATTGTCCTTGAATAAAAAAGACAAAGTTGTTGTAATGGCTGCAAAGACAGCTCTATAGAGTAACCACGACCCTGTGACTATTGATTCTCAGTTGTTGTTTCAGAGATTAGTGACAGCTGCAACTTCAAAAAATGAAGACAAGATAGAGATTTTTAAACACGAACTTTGCAGCTACCCCTTGTCATTGTCTGAATCTGCAGATATCCTTCATCAGTCCAACAAATCAGCTCTGCTAGAAGAACTTAGGAAATCAAGGACAATGGTTACGCCTGATCTGCCATCACCAGCTAACCTGCAGATCGTCGTTTGATGGAGGGTCTTTACTGCAGCGCATTCCCTGGCAACGAGGGAGCACCTTCATTAGTATTATCGAGACATTATATGCTTCTTATGTCAGCAAGAATTATCCAAACGCAACCTTTGTTTTTTTAATGGATATTTGTCTAGCCCTGTCGACAAAAGATATGACATAGCTCAAAAGAAGATACCGTTGCAATAGGAGAAGATACAGATCTTCTCCTGCTGTTGGCACATTATGCTGATGAACATGCTCATAACATCTATTTCTACCCGAACTAAAATATCCCAGCTTAAAAATGAAGCAACGGGATATTAAACAATTAATTATACAACTTGGGGCATTTCGACATTCTCTGCCCTTTCTCCATTCCCTTTCTGGCTATGACACCACATCAAGACCGTTCGGTATCGGGAAAGGTATTACTTTGAAAAAGTTCCAACAAAATGATGCTCATAGAATCTTAAGTACAGATTTTATGGCAAACCAATCTGCCTTAAGTCTTGCTGCTTCAGGCGAGAAAGCCGTTGCGCTTCTGCACAATGGAAAACCAGAAAAAAGTCTTGATGAACTACGCCATCATACCTTCTAACAGTCACAATATCTATACAGGACCGTGCACTTCCTCCGACATCAGTTGCAGCTAAGTATCAAAGCCTAAGAGTGTATCTTCAGGTGCAACAGTGGATGAGAAATGATACGCTTAATCCCGTAGAATGGGGATGGAAATATGAGGATAGACATTATGTTCCCATCATGATCACCTTGTCGGCAGCACCACCAGACCTTCTGAAAATTGTGCTATGTACCTGCACGGACAACTGTGCCACTCGATGCTGCTCCTGTCGGAAACACGGACTGGAACGCTAACAAGCATGTGCAGAGAGCCATGGTATCCTCAATTCACAAAACATTCGTTTTGTATAGAGGATACTTACATGTAGCCCACTTTTCTTATTGTGAAATAGTATATATCATATGTTTATTAACTCATTTTAACCTGGTCCACGTCTCACTGTACTACATGTATTTATGTAATTCATGTCGATGTAGCCTATAGTCATCATGGTCCAAAACTTAAAATAGTGTCTTTCTAATTATATTTTGTCTTAATGACTGAGTGTCATACTTAATGTAACTTTACGATATCCGCAAATAGCTCTCTCTGGTCATAAATAATCACAAATGTATCTATGTAATGAAAAAGACAAGATTCCAAGCTTTAATATGAGATGCGACACGACGGGGGTGTGTTAAGTATTACTTATCCTATGTATGTTATGTTATTGTGACGTCATTGAAGGCCTAATTACACCATTATGCCTCACCCGATTTCGGTATAATTTTGTA